TTAACAAATAAGTGGCGCATTTTGAAATCAAATGAGAGTTTAAAAAATCTTATTTGTGTTTCAAAATTTTAAAATCGGAAAATGAAATGGGAGTGTCTAGAGATCCCCATTTCATGAAATCGGAAAAATTTTAAATCAGAAAATCTTTAGTCATTATTACGTATTATTTTTATCATATTGATATCAATACTGTATATTACTTTGTAAACAAAAAAAAAAACTTTCGTTCAAATTCTTTAAAGTATTTATTTATTTTTAAATTATTCTATTATTTTTAAATGATCGATTATTTAATAATATTAAAAAAAACTTTCGTTCAAATTCTTTAAAGTATTTTATTTCTTTTAAATTATTTTATTATTTTTAACCGATTAATTATTTAATAATAATAACATTCGTTCAAATTCTTTTAAGTATTTTATTTCTTTTTATTATTTTTAAATAATCAATTATTTAATAATTATAAAATGCCTCCAAAGAGAACTTTTAAAAAAACCAATAAAGAACAAAAGCTTGCGATGGTTATGTTTGTAGAAAATCCAAAAAATCGCGATATTATTGATGGAAAGGCAGCAACCGGTGCTCCTGTTGGTGGCAAGCCTGTAACCAAAAATGCAGGATTTACACAAATGGCTTTATTTGTAAACAAACGGTGCAAAGATAGCCAATGGAATGCTAAAACAGCAACTGGCCATTGGGCTACTTATAAAAAACTATATATAGAAACTCAAAAGCTAGTTAATAAATCTGGGTGGGGATTAACTGAAGATGATCATGAAAAAGGTATTACAACTATAGAAGCTAAGTTGGAAGAATTATGCCCATATTATAGCCGTATTGATGCTATTTATGGTGAAAAGCAAAATGTACAACCTACTTTTCTTGAGAATTTCGGATTAAATGATGAAGATAATACAAGCAAAACTTTAAATGAAGATAATGCAAGCAAAGCTTTAAATGGTAAATATAAAAATCATACTTGTAATTAATTTAAGTTATTATTAATAAATATATAAACTTATAATTTATAGAATTCAATAATGATCAAGAACAAAGTGAGGATAAATTAAATAGTATATATAGTCGAAATGAAAAACTTTGTTATCATTTATTTTAGATGATATTAATTTAGAAGATGAATCTGATGATAATTTATCAAGTAATAATTATATTAATTTTTATTATAATATTATCGTATTTATATAATTTATTTTATTTAATTAATAAATTTTATTTAAAAAGATATTGCCGGTAATAATAATTTATATGATAACAACTTTAATAATAATTATGCTGATAATAATGATTTGTATGAAGATAATTTTAATAATAATAACGAAGATTTATTAGCTGGTAATTTGTTAAATATAATAATTTTAATTAACTATTGTAATTTATTTATTTATTTTATATTAAAATATATTTATTATTATAATAAAGAATCAAATGAATTGAGCTCTAATTGTAATAAAAGAAAACACATTTCTGAAGATATTTCATCAAAACGGCAACATTTATTATCATCTTCTAAAAATAAAAATGCAAAAAATTCTGCAAAAGACATTTATTTTAACACTAAACAACAAAGTCTTACAATTAAAAAAGATCAAATTGTTATTGAAAAAGAAATGATCGATATAAAAAAATCTGAATTAAAACAAACCTTAGATATTGAAGAAAAAAGACTTAAATGGGAAAAAGAAAAGGCTGAAATAGAAAATACAAAAAGTAAAAAAGATCAACAAAGTAATCTTTTATTAGAACTTATACGTCAAGGAAAATCTTTAATAGAAATTAAAGAAATATTTGATTTTTT